AAGCAGATACAGAATTTTTTTCAACGGGAAAATGGGAATTTAGTACAACAAAAAATGAATGAAAGAATGAGATTAAAAGGGAACAATAGCTGTTGTTGAGGTTATAGGTGGCCTGGTTAAAGAGGCTTGTCTTTTATTCTTTTGCTTAAAATGTTGTCGAGCCACGAAGCGGAGGGATGTTTCTATTACCGCTCTTTGCATTGCTACGCGGCCACCCCAGACAATATTCGCGACGTGCACTTGGCTTTAGACTGCCGTCAATCAAACATGTTGACGTCATTTCCTCGAGAAGGCGCCAAAACTTGTCGTTTGTTTACACTATTATGGTTGCTTCTTATCAATCGCTTCGATAGAGGGTGATTTATTTAACTCAAGATGGACTAAGTATCAATAGTCCAGTCATCCTGTGATTTAAGGTCAAACAAATTGTAAAAGAATTTTTCTCACTGCTTAACAATAGATAGAGGTTAGCTAAGTAACATACTAAAAATTCGCAAAAATTCCTGTGGTGGAACATAGTCAAACTGGGCATAATTTAAATCGACATTTACCACAGGGTTCCCACAACGGGAAAATTTTGGTTATCTTAGTATTTGAGGTAAAAAACGTTTTAAACTAATTTCTTTTCCTGTCAAGTAATAGATAGGGGCTGTTTGAGTTACTTATGAAATATTTGGAAACATTTCTGCCSTAGAGCATGGTCAAATGTCGAATAACGAATTTACCACAGGGTACCCACAACTTTTAAGTGACTAGTGTGCTAAAGTTAAGTTACTACAGAAGTAAAAATATATAAACATATTTTATACACTTTGCTTCCCAATCAAATTTTTTAACCTATTCTCTTATTCTCAAATTTTTTAACTTATTCTCGTTATTTTGTGGCCTACCACAAAATAACGAGAATAAGTTAAAAAAATGTACAGACTCTGCTTATAATTAACAGACGTTTAAGAACCTACATATACGTCACAAGCGTTATAATCAATCTCATGTCGAGGAAAATTATGGCTTCRTTTGACCTCTCATTCATCTCCTTCACTGAAATCTAGTTGTGAGGAATTACAACAGCTTTGTCCTCTACAGTWAGCACASGCAGCGGAACATTCGAGCCCTTGTTTTCTGCATGAACATCTTTGGGTGCTGCAGTCTGTCTTGCATCCACACCTTACCATCTCGAGCAAAGACGCATGAGCTGCTGGAAGGCTTGTTCTCACAGGTAACAATCTGTCATCTTCTAGCTTCCAACCCCAGTTTTCAGCAGGAAGCGCCACCCCTTTCCATCCCTGAACTTGATGATATACCCTCAGGCTGTGATAACTGGCGGCTGCTGATGTCGGTGGGAGGCATTCAGGTTGCACAAAAGAGTTGCCTGTAGAGATCTTTTGACAAAATTTCGCATAACGCAGGGAATCCAAAGTATCATCGG